CATAATATTTTGTGACAATGTGTGTTGTGTTAAGGCAGCCGGGATTAAAACAAAAACACAAGCCTTTTTTTTTTTTTAGGAACCCCAACACATGCTATGTGTGTTGTGGTGCGCTGCACAGCGTCATGCATTGCACTGTAAAGTGCGTACAATGAACGGCACTCTACATAAATCAGGTCTCTACAAGAGCATCCAGATTCAATGAGAGAAATTCAGAAGTTGCGATTTTTCCCCTGACTCTTGTCAAAAACTTTACTCCAACCAGCTCTTTCAAAAATAGGTCAGATTTCCTCGGTGTAGGTTTTCTTTAAGCAGTCTTGCATTCACAATATTTTCCATGATTGTATAACTAAAATCATTGAAACTCATGCTATCATCTTTCAGTGATATCTTTGCGAGTTATACTATAATAATATAGGATTTAGTTTGTAGAAGAAAAGAAGAAACCTTGCAAATGCGCACATGTGCTGTACATATTGTAAATTAAAAGGCAAAAAATGATACCGTCACCAAAGTGAGCCTTCAGTACTGTGCACAGCTCATGCACTACCGTGTCCTCTCCCTGGCTGGCTCCTTGTAGATCAAACAGCAATGACTATACTTGTAGACTGTCACAGCATCAGTACAGTACGGCACAATCATTACTACTGTCTGCTCTCTGCAGACATTTCTCTCTGTGATACAGACACTTGCTGTAAGCAGTGCAGGACGGTTTGAAGAAAGGTAGAAGGAAAAAGGACCTAGGAGGTGATGAAGCCGGGACCTTGTATTTTCTGACCATGGAATGATTCTGATCAAAATATATAATCATATTGGTGAGACTTTAGTAATCAGAATTGCTATGGGTTACTATACACTCCAGGGGCTGATTTATAAATCTTCTGCCCAACATATAGCTGGGCGAATGCAGTTCACATAGAATTACCGCTACCAGATGGAGCTGAGGATCTTAGGGAATTCCTATGCTCCTCAGCATCTAGTGGTGGTAGTGCCATGGGAACAGCATTCACCCAGCTATATGATTGGCAGAAGATTTATAAATCAGACCCTTGTTGTGTTCTGCTCGTTGCAGAGTTTACTAAAAAAAAAAAAAGGCAGAAAGAATATACCTGAGAAAAACATCCCTCTATCTAATATTCTTGTCTTAGCAGAGAAAACATGCTTGGAAGACAGGAAGATCAAATGTAAACTGCCGGGTTTGTTAACTAGGGCTGCAGCTAACGATTATTTTCATAATCGGTTAGCCGATTATTAACTTCGATTAATTGGATACAATGAAAAAAAATGAATACCGTCATTTACAGGGTTTGAAAAATCCACTCGTCTGCGACGAGAGGACGGTGGAGCCCGACGAGCAGCTGCCCGGCCGGCCGTTGTAATTACACGGCCGGCCGGGAGCTTTAAAGTCAAGCGATCGAGCGTCTCTATAGACGCTCCATCGATTGTATCAGCAGCAATACTTTTAGAGCCATTAAGGCTGGGTTCACACCTGGGCGTTTTACAGCGCTGATCAACGCACTGTAAAACGCCCAGCAAATGAAATCCCATTATTTCCTATGGACATGGTTCTCACTTGGGCGTATTTCAGCGTGTCGGAACGTGCTGAAAAACGCCCTACCCCAAAGAAGTACGGGAGCATCTTTGGGGCGTATTTCCGCGCGTATCCATTAGGATACAGCCGGATAGCCCTCGTAAATGCGCGTTTGACGCGCGTTTTGAGGGCTGCAAATCGCGGTTAAAACATGCACCCCAAAACGCGCGTCATACATGCATATTTTGAATGCCTAGGTGGGAACCCAGCCTAAAGGAGAACTATGAGGCGAGTGCTTTTCACTCACCTTATAGATCTAGCCGACTTGCGACAATGAGACTGTCACGTGTCGGCTTAGTAGATCGGGAAGTGAGCGAACACATACCGGCGTTCGCTCACATCTCGATCCTGTCACGGCTCTCTGCCATGACAGGGGAGGGGCTGGATTCCCCCCGCTCCGATCCGCCAGCGCTGACTGGCGGAATGGATGGGGGAGGGGCAGGTACAGCTGGCTCTGCCTCTAGATAAGCAGAGCCAGCTGTCACTCACGCAGCTGGGCGGATCCAGACATAATTGTCGGGATCCGCTTCAGCTGCGGCGTCTCAGTATACCGCAAGCTGTAGCTCCCTATATACTGAGCTTAGGGTGATGGGAGGACGCTAGTTTGTGTCCTCCCGTTACCCTAAGGAGAACTATGGTGAAAATCCCTAACCCCATAGTTCTCCTTTAATCACTGATAACACTAAACTGATGAACAGTAAAAGCATTTTAATCGTCGCTTATGGGCATTTTTTTTTTCCGATTTTGCGGGCGCACGCAGTTTTAAGGCTTGACATGTTTGGTGTCTATTTACCCGACGTGACCCCGACTTTTATGTTTTACTAAAAATAAGGGTAAGAATAAATGTTTTATAACATAACGTAGGGAAACTTTTTTGTTTTTTTTCTACATTTATGGTTCTTTTTTTATTATATAGTAAAAAATAAAACCCGCAGTGGTGATTATATACCTCCAAAAGAAAGCTCTATCTGTCCCCAAACTTTAACATAAATTGCAAGGCTATAGTCCGGTCATGCTGACTGGTGAAATTTTTGACTGACTGCTGAGACACTATCAAATTTTTCAAGCCCTGGTCATTTATTTAAAATGAAATACACAAATGCAGTGTTACAGGCATAAAGTTTACTTCAGAATAAAACGCTATGCACATTTTTTTAAATCGCACTGCAGTACCGCGCCTTCCAGTGCGTGCGATCACACTGCGGATGGGAGGTGCATTCGGGATCGATTGGTATGAATGACAGAACGGGGGGCATGGCAGAGGCAGGAGGGGGGCATGGCAGAGGAGACACAAGGCGGCAGCGGAGGAACAGGGCGACACAGAAGCAACCTGGCAGCAGCAGAGGTACAAGGGGCGGCAGCGGGGGAAGAGTCGCCAGTCTTTTCTCCCCGCTGGTGCCGGCTGCAGTGGTCTGTGTCCCAGATGCCTCTGCCAATACAGGCGGGGAGAGCAGCGGGGATTGAAAGGGACACAGGCGGCTGCAGCCACCACCAGTGGGGAGGAGAACGGAGGAGCAGAGCGGCAAAAAATTATCTTAAATCAACTAATCGATGATGAGAATCGTTGCCAACGATTCTCGTTATCGATTGTAATCGATTTAATTGATCAGTTGTTGCAGCCCTACGGTTAACCTTTTGCTGGGCACTGCCTCCAATTTTGCACCATAGGTGGCAAGCTCAATTTCGCGATTTTTTCATTGGATTTCACTCAAAGTATTCTTGGTGAATTGACACCGCCTGTGAATCTTGTTGAGTCAGTACATTGTCATAATATCTGCATAGACTGGGTCTCAGGGAGTGTATCTTCTGCATAAAGCGACATTTGAAACAGAATATACTGATGTTGCTTATTTTATTTCTAAACATCCAACGTGCGCAGGGATACCAAATGTGTAGTGTAATTCTTGTATGGCATGACAGTGCAGATGTGTATTTTACATGTGTATGTTTATGTTTGTATTACATGAAACCTATTATCTGTTGTATTCCCTTTTTTTAAATTTTACTTTTTTCAAACCTAGCCTTATTACTGACACCACTTATCATTATACATAAGATTTATATTTACATCTTGTAGATGTGATTGGGCAGTTGTATAGCCATCTAGGTCACTTTCACATGCAACAAAGAGACCACAGATGACATATTGGAATAAGTCCTTAGCAGACAAAAGGTTCATCGCTGTTTATCCCATTGTGCCAGCCATTCACCTGAATCTTGTAACACCGCGATGGTGGCCTTGCTCCCATTCATATGTTTAGAGACAATGACAAACTACCCCAAAGTGTCCATCAACTCAAAACTTTGAAGTCTAGAGCATATTCTAACATTTGCTTTATAGTTTGTTTGTTTTTAGTTTTGGATAGAATGTGGAAAGGTTAGAAGTAGGGATGCACCGATATATTAGCCGTGGAAACATATCGGCCGAAAATTGCACTTTTGGCATCATGCCGAAAGTGACATTTTCTGGCCGATACAGCGGTGCATCCATCTTTCTCTACTCCCCGCTAGGCGCTGCTCTGTGTCCCAGCGGGGAGTAGAGAAACTTTGACAGGAGGCTGAGCGCTGCGGGAGGAGAGCGCTGTGAGCGGCCGGCCTCTCTCCTCCCACACAGCTCAGCTTCCTGTCACAGATCGGCAGAGCGATGTGTGGGCGGAGACAGCCAGTGCTGTCACACCAGACTGAGCACCTCTCGCTCAGCCTCCGTGTCAGGAAGAAGAGCGGTACAAACACTCAGCGATCAAGTTTAGACCCCTAATATTTCCCCGAAGCCCCTAAAAGTAAAAAATAAAAATATTTAATTAAAAAATTATTCAATAAATAAAAATATATTAAAATTTAAAAAAAATATATATAAAATTTTTTTGAAAAAGTTCAAATAAAAAACATTTTGGGTTTCGGCCTGACTATTTTTTTATTTTGGTTTTGAAATTTTAATTTCGGTGCACCTCTAGTAAGACGCTATGTCTGTTTTTTTATTGCTGTCTTTGTCAACGTGGGGGACTATTGCTCCTGGGTGGTTAAGACTCATTTGTTTTTGTTGCCCAAATTCCCACACAAGGAACTACCAGGGCCCATCTTTTGGTGTGGAAACCTAAAGTGCAGCACAGCTTACAGAACCTGCTCTGTAGGTCCAAGTTCAAATCCAACCTGGAAAAAAAAATCTGCACTTTGATATTTTCTCCTCTATGTTCCAATTTTGCATAGAACCAAACAGATCTATACACTCTACGGCGCTGCATTATATGCCACTGTGTACCCTCACATTGCCCTGCAATGAGGAAGAGAGTGGAGCTATAAAGATTACTAATAATACATTGGTGGCCAATTTATTTATAGGCACTATATTGGTGGCCAATGATTTCATTGGTTTGTTCACTCTTCAAAAAAACAAAATGTTTACACATACCTGGTTATCATATTTCAAAGATTGTGTCCCAACCAAAAATCTGATGGCATCCGTTTCTGCTGTTTGGGCTGACAGCGCTCGGGCCTAAATGAAAGAAAAGTTTATTAAAACACAAAAACTGACCAACCATGAAAACAAGTAAGAAATTAACTTTTCAACTTTTCAGATGAGGATGTGCAAAAAGAAATAGCCAACCGGACACGTTTCAAGTTGACAGCAAAAAATGTTGAGGAGTTACTATTATTTACAGTGCTCTGCAATAATTAAATATGCATTTACAATAAATGCACAGAGGACTGGGCCCTAATAATTAGAGTGTATGAAATACGTATTTTCTATAATAAATACAGAGGACTGGGCCTATTAGACTGTATGAAATAGGCTTTTTCTATAATAAGTACACAGAGGACTGGGCCCTATTGATCAGACTGTATTAAATAATCCTTTCCAATAAATACACAGAGGACTGGGCCCTATTCATCGAACTGCATGAAATAAGGACAAAGCTGAGTTTTTAATGAGAATCCATTAGCCTCACCTCCCCAATCTAATCTAACCAAGAACCCCCACCCATATACTTACCCACCTTTCCATGGCAGCAGGAGCCTTGTGTTTACCCTCATCGACCTCAAAACTGCTCCGGCGCTGGCCCGCATATGTGACATTAGAGTCATTAGGGGTATGGAACCCTTTCAGGTTCATGCTTTAGGCCTGGTTCACACCTAGGTGCTTTTTCAGTTTCACACATTTTTGCGTGATTTTTTTCTCTGCAATACTTACCACTCCTACAGCCCTCGGATTCCGAGG